GAAAACCCTGCCATCTTTCGCAGATAACTACTCCCCTTTTTGAGAAACAGCTCTTAGTCTGCTACTGGGCCTTAGTAGAGACTGAACAGTTAACTGTGGGCCCCCAAGTTACATGTGACCTGAGATGTCCATCATAAACTGGGTGTTATCTGAACCATGAAGCCATAAAGTTGCGAGTGCACAGCAACTGCAAGTGGTATACACAAGACTGGGCCTGAGCAGGCCCTGAAAGTACAAGTAAGTTACATGAAGAAGTGGCCCAAATGCACATGGTCCCCACTCCTGCTACACGGTCTTTTCTCTCCCAGCCTGCATCTATGGCCTCATGGGGAGTTCCCTAAAATAGCTGACAGAGGAGGACAAGACTCAGGCCTGGTTTACAGATGCTTCTGCATGATATATAGGCACCACCTGGAAGTGGATAGCTGCAGCCCTACAGCTCCTTTCTGGGACACCCCTGAAGGACAGTGGTGAAGAGAATTCTTCCCAGTGTGCAGAACTCTGAGGAGTGCACCTGTTTATTCATTTTATTTGGAGGGAGAAATGGCCAGATGTGTGATTTTATACCGATTAACGGGCTGTGGCCAATGGTTTGGCTGTATGGACATGAGTAGAAAATTGGTGACAACGAAGTTTGGTTGACAAACATATTTGGGGAAGAGGTATAGACAGATCTCACCGAACGGGCAAAAAAATGTGAAGATATTTGTGTCCCATATGAATGCTCACCAAAGGGTGATCTTGGCAGAGGAAGATTTTAATAATCAAGTGGATAGGATGATCTGTTCTGTGGATACCAGTCAGCCTCTTTCTCCAGTCAACCCTGTCATCACCCAGTGAGCTCATGAACAAAGTAGTCATGATGGCAGGGATAGAGCTTATGCATGAGCTCAGCAACATGGACTTCTACTCAACAAAGTTGACCTGGTATGGCCAACGCTGAGTGCCCAATCTGCCAGCAGCACATACCAACACTGAGTGCCTAATATGGCACCAATCCCCAGGGGGATCAGCCAGCTACCTGGCAGCAGATTGATTACATTGGACTGTGTCTATTATGAGAGGGGCAGAGTTTTGTTCTAACTAAAATAGACATTTATCTACAGATATGGATTTGTTTTCCCTGAACGCAATGCTTCTGCCCAAACTACCATCCGTGGACTTACAAAATGCCTTATGCACTGTCATGGTATTCCACATAGCACTGCTTCTGATTAAGGAACTCACTTCACAGCTAAAGAAGTGCAGCAATGGGCCCATGCTCATGGACTTCACTGGTCTTACCATGTTCTCCACCATCCTGAAGTAGCTTGCTTGATAGGATAGTGGAATGGCCTTTTGAAGACTCAGTTACATTGCGAGCTAGGTAGCAATACTTTGCAGGGCTCAAGCAAGGTTCTCCAGGAGGCTCTATGTTCTCTGAACCAACATCCGGTATATGGTGCTATTTCTCCCACAGTCAGGATTCACAGGTCCAGAAATCAAGGGGTAGAAATGGGAGTAGCACCACTCACTGTTACCCCTAGTGACCCACTAGCAAAATGTTTGCTTCCTGTTCCCATGACTTTATGCTCTGCTGGCTTAGAGGTCTTAGTTCCAGGGGAGGAATGCTTCCACCAAGAGACACAACAATGATTCCACTGAACTAGAAGTTAAGACTGCCACCCAGCCACTTTGGGCTCCTCATGCCTCTGAATTAACAGGCAAAGAAGGGAGATATGGTGCTGGCTGGGGTGAATGATCCTTACTACCAAGACGAAACGGGACTCCTACCCCACAGTGGAATTAAGGAAGAGTATGTCTGGAATATAGGAGATCCCTTAGGGTATCTATTAGTATTACCATATCCTGTGATTAGTCAATTGAAAACTACAACAACTCAATCTAGGCAGGAACGAGGGTTTGGGTAGCCTCACAAGGTAAAGAGCCACAATCAGCTGAGGTACTTGCTGAAAGCAAAGGGAATACAGAGTGGGTAGTACAAGAGAGTAGTTAACAATACCAACTAGGACCCTGTAACCAGTTACAGAAATGAGGACTGTAATTGTCATGATTATTTCCTCCTTATTTTGCTATGAATACATCTGTGTGTGTATGTGCATATAAACAAATAAATAAATATTTTATATATATATATGTCTTTGTTTTCTTTCCTCCCTTATTCCCTTATCATGTAAAATAAGATGTATTGACTTTCTATCATGGTATTCAAGTATTGTTAATTTTATACCATAGTATTTAAGTCACGGGATTTCCAGGAGAAGAGTGAACATCACTCAAGGACTTTATGTCCTCTTCTGGGGAAGGGGTTAGTGGGTTTTCAGTTGTAGGTGGGATAGCGGTATCATGTTAGGTGGAATTATGATTTGGTTATTGTCTTTATTTGGAGATTAAGTCTGGTTTAAGGAGATGCATATGGCTGCCAAGTTGACAAGGGATGGACTTGTGATGGTTAATTTGAAGTGTCACTCGACTGGCCCACAGGTTGCCCAGAACAAATGTTATTTCTGGATGTGTCTCTGAGGGTGTTTCCGGATGAGATTAGCATTTGAATTCCCTACCCAATGTGGATGGGCACCATCCAAACCCTAGAGGGCCTTAATAGAAAAAAAAAGGCAGACGAAGGGAGGATTTGGTCCCTTCCTGCCTGCTTAACCTGGAACACAGGTCTTCTGCCCTTGGACTGCGAATTACGCCACTGGTTCCTCTCCTCGGGCCTTCAGATTCGGACTGGAATTGCACCACTGTCTTTCCTGGGTCTCCAGCTTGCAGATGGCAGACTGTGGGATTCCTCAGCCTACGTAATTGTGTGAGCTGATTCCTTATAATAAATTTCCTTCTATATATATACATACATACATCCTATTGGCTCTGTTTCTCTGGAGAACCCTGACTAATATAGTCAGTCTCTTTATTTTTAGCCATTCCTGTGGGTATAAAGTGGTATCTCATTGTGTTTAATTTGCATTTCCCTAAAGACTAATGATGTTGGTCATCTTTTCATGTGCTTATTTGCCAACCATAGATCTTCTTTGGTGAACTGTCTGTTCAAATCTTTTGCCCATTTTTAAAAACGGAGAGTTTTTTTCCTTGAGTTTTGAGAGTTCTTTATATATTCTGGATACAGTCCTTTATCAAATATGATTTGTAATTTTATCCCAGTCTGTGGCTTGTCTTCCCATTTCTCTTAACAGTTTCTTGCGAAGAGCGGAGGAATTTAATTTTGATGAAATCCAATTTATCCATGTTTTCTTTTATGGATTGTACTTTTTGTGATGTATCTAAGAAATCTTTGCCTAACTCAAGGTCACAAAGATCTTCCTTTAGGTTTTCTTCCAGGAATTTTATAGTTTTAGGTTTTATATCTAGGTCTATGATCCACTTTTAGTTAATTTTTCTATATGAAGCAAAGTATTTATTGAAGTTCATTTTTTTTTCCATACGATAGCCAATGGTTCCAGCATCATTTGTTGAAAAGACTATCTTTTCTCCACCAAAGTGACTTTGCACCTTTGTAAAAAAAATCAGTTGCCTATATCTGTATGGTTCTATTTCTGGACTTTCTGTTCCAGTTCACCAATAATCTGTCTATCCTGATACGAATACCACAATATTTTAAGTATTGTAGGTTATAAGCCTTGAAATCAATTTTGGTATACCTTTTCAAAGGTGATTTGGCTATTCTAGGTCCTCTGCATTTCTGTATGAGTTTTAGACCCAAGTTGTCAATTTCTACCCCCAAAAAAAGCCTGCTGGGATTGTGATTATGTTGAATCTACAGATCAGTTTGGAAAGAAATAACATCTTAACTATATTGAGTAGTTCCCTGACACATGTGTGCTTATCAATACTTAACTGAACACTTGAGGGGTCCCTTCTGCAAATGGCTGGATCTCTCCCTCTCTGCAGCTTTCTCCTCTCCAACACTGCCCTGCAAACTCGAGCTGCTTTGGTCTTCCTGGACTTTCAGCTCCATCTCCTCAACTCCGTCTGGGTTTTCCCTCCCTGCAGCTGCAGCCTGAACACTCTCAAGGCAGGAAGCTGGGCAATCACAGGGCTCACTTCATTTATAGTCCATCTCTCAGTGTTCACTGTCCTTCACTGCCAGATGCTCAGTGTCTTTCATACTGTTGCTTCATATATTTTGCCCATTTTTAAAACTGTTTCAGGCAGGAAAGTAAATCTGGTCCCTGTTATTCCATCTTGGTAAGAAGCAGAAGTCTCAATTTTTAAGTTTTAATGTCAAATCTGTTCTCACAGTTATAAAATTCAAGTAAAAACAGGACAAAAACATAACTAGTAATTAGTATAATGTTTCATCACTGTTCGTTTATTTGTTCATTAACTCATTTCACTCCAGAAATATTTCTTGAATTCTGCATGGGAAGCATGGTGCTGGCACCTGAGTGCACAATGCGGAGGCTCAAAGCCAGATGTGCGTGCCCCTTGCTCTCACAGAGCTTACAATCTAGTGGGACAGACAGACATTCATCAAATAATGATAAACAAAAACGTAACACTGCAAGTGTGATAACTGCTATGAAGGAAAGGTATAGAATAATGCCAGGATAACCTATAAGAGGGTGATTTTACAGTATTGGTTTCTATTGAGCCTATATCCACGAGTTGAAAAATATCACTACTGTTTCTTTATGTCAAAGTCACAAAGAAATCACATTATGTATGCAGTGGGAAAAAAGTATTCATTAAATAAACTCAATACATGATATACTTACTAGGTTAAGACAATATGCTGAGTGCTTTGGAGCACACAAAAATTATGACACTATCCCTGTGAAACTTAAGATCTAATCGGGCACATAAAATATAAAGAAATATAAAGGTTATATATCTTCATCCTATATGAATATAAATGTAAATTTATCACAAACATCATTTCATCTATCCACATTTAATACATTATTTTTTCCATCAGCCTAATTGCAGAAATTTGACCAGTTCCTTTGAGAAAACAATACATTTATTTTATTAAGTCTTACCTAGATATCTCAGCTTGGGAATTCTTCTCTCCATCAACAGTGAAAGGAGATGCTCCAGTTAGTAATTCATACATTAGAACACCTAAACTCCACCAGTCAACTGCCTATAAAACAATAATAATTTCATTTTATAGAATATGGACTAACATATATTTTATAAGAAAGAAAAATGAACAAAATAAAGCTATATATTTGGAAAATGTTTGAACGAAAAGATTTTGCACATAGCTTTCTGTGCAAGGAGCATTAAATTAGCACGTGCAAGAAAGACATTTAGAGAACAAATATCCGGGTATCCTCAGACCAGAACTGAAACACAGCAAAGTCAGTCAAGGGGCTAAAAGTGTTTTAACTATTTCCTAAACTAGTAATGGTTTTACTTTGGTTAACTTTTAAAAAATTTTAAATTTAAAATAAATTTTTAAAATTTGAAGTAAGTGAAATCTTCGGACTTATGAGAGGAGAAAAAAAAGTACTGATCAGTATTTTTATTAATTATTCAGCTCCAATAAATACTATGAAATTATTTGAATTCAAAGAACAAAAATGAAAAAAAAAATCCCATCTAAAGCTGTTTTTTTTTTTTCATAACCACCTAAATCAATTCCTCTTAGAGAACCTATCACATAAATCTAAGAGTCTTCATTTGTGGCAAGCATGAAGAGATTTCAAATAATATAAAATAAAATGTGATCTAAATTGGAAACAAATTTATAAATGCAGGTACCTGAACTAGAAGTATAGTAAACTATATACAATTTAGAGAATCTTGATATATTGAAAATTAGTTCTTTCATAATTAGGCAAATCAAGATTTCAATAACTGTTGAATATATGAGCTTACAGCAATGAGATATTAACTGGATGCTAAAATTTTAAACTCTCCTGCTTCTAATTTCAGGGCCAAGGTTTCAGAGAGATGACGCAAAATTTCTGGGCCTAGAGCTATTTTAAAGAAAATACGTAACAACGACATATAAAACAGGATCAGGTAGCCTGAAATCAGAAAAGGAAGAGTCGGAGCCAGGCATGGTGATGAGCACTTTGCATATATTATCTCACTTAATTAACTCAAAGCTGTTGAGGTGATCCATGAACAAGAAAGAATATTTATTGACTAGCTGTATTCTGGACCTCAGGTATACAGAAATTCTAGGAGTAATATAAGGTTTTATTTCCTAAAATTTGGTTCTATTAGGTCTTAGAAAGTAATTTTCAAATTTTTAACAGTTATAAATTCCCATCAAATTCCCTAAAAGTTCCAAAGAATACCATGAAGCAAACTAAACCAGCAATTCAATTCTTTTAGTTCTATAAGCAGTTTTACTGCTCTCTGAGTCAGGACCCAGAATGTTTTGCTGTTACATTTGAAACCACGCTCTTAAATTGACAGAGATCTACAATCAGATTCCCTCGTCATGGCCTGAAACCAATTCCACACAAACTTGAAGAACAGGCTTTTAAACATATGATTAGTCATTAGCAAGGAGACCATGATTCTCCACACTTAAGATATCTAGACTGTATATATGGGATTTTGAAAGAGGATGAGGGAGAGGAGGAGATGAGGAGCAAAAAATAGCTAGAATTCTTTATTTGGAGAAAGTTATTAATAAAGCAAAAGTACTGAGAAAGAACCGAACAAATTTGTACCCTTTAATATGGGAAGAAAAAATATGTGACCTAGATTTTATGACATAACTACTTAGAAAGTCTTTTCCATAATCTTCATTTTGCACATACAAAGGGAAGTGAGGAGGAAAAAAAGTGAGCTTTTTAGAGGGCCTAGGAAAACAAACTTCGACTATCTTGAATGCAAGATTTTTTTCTTTCTCCAGAGATCGTTACAATGGTTATTTCTGTTGAAGAGATAATGAACGAAATCTCTAGTTTCTCTACAAAGTTAAAAGCAGAAATTGGGAATAAGAAAATATGAAAGATTCCCTTTTCAATGATCTCTCAGAAAGCAAATATCAACTAACGGTGAAACACGTGGCTAAATGTCTCTGTACGTTTTTCTAGCAACAATCAATAACGCCAACAAGCACTGTCCAAAATCATTCAACATGACTCAGACAGGAATGATGTGCACTGTTTATGCTTTCAGTGACACTTCTGTATTGTACTGCGGCTCAGCTGTGTCCTAAAGGATCAGGTCCCATCAATAGAAAAATAATGATTTTTGTTTTAAATGGAGTTACAACTGGTGCTCTGCTCAAGATATAGACTCTTTTAACAGAAATAAAATAAAAATTATTTGGAGAATTAGTTGATTTTGAGGTTTCCTTTAACAAGAGTGTTACTCTACAAAACAAAAAACTATCCTCACCAATAAAACCTGAAAAAAGGGAAGGCTAGAATGTCCTAATCTATTACCTTTTTCCTCCACAACACTAGATATCATAATGTGTTCATGCATACATATAAAGCTAAGGAGAGAAAAAAATGCAAGTAAGACAATACCAGAAAGAGGGCTCTGTTGAAGAGACTGTACCCAAGTTATTAACTAGGATTCTTACTATACATTTTATAGAAAAATATAAAGAAGCGTCAAAAATAGAACATACCTTGTCATGTCCTGAATCTCCCCCTCTGACAATATCTGGTGCCATGTATTCAATAGTTCCACAAAAGGAATACGCTCTTTCAGCCTTAAACAATCAAATAAGCAAAAAAGGATTTGATTTCAAGATAGTATTACAGGTGACAAAAGAAGAAAGTTAATACTACATGTCAGTGGGTGAGATACACCACAGTAGCAAAGTAGTGGTAGAATCTACTTGACAGACCCTCTTCTCACCAGGATAGATCATCACCTATGTAAAATGAGTCCTGGCTAAATATCCTGTCAGAAAAACTTCCCATGCCTGAAACTCTAACATCATTCATTCACCCATCCACCCATCCACTCACCCATCCATCCCTCCCTCCCTCCCTCCATCCATTCACTCTTCTTCTTTTCTGTACGTGTGTATATTTCCATTATTGATCTTTAACCATTCTTTTTGTAAGAATGCAAATAGTCCTAGTAGGGTAACATGGACTGCCTACTACTTTAGTATGGATGACTTTATTCCCCAATAGGCAAGATTGGGAACTCATTGGGAAACTTGAAGGGGGAAGGGAGACCAAATAATTAGGAAACCCAAAGAAGAAAAGGATGAAAAAATTTTTCCTCCCTTACCATCTTTTCTAGGTTTGGCACTAACAATGGTATGTTTAGTGATGATGAGCAAAACTGTCTTTAAAAAAAGACTGCCTCTTAAAGACAGTTGTTTCTCTTTTGTAAAACTTTAAAAAGGGCTAATATATCAACCTGAAAATTAATTTAAAAAACTGAAGTAATTTTTAAATAATCAACTGTGTCATATGACTCATCCCAATGTAATACAGGAGAGTACATATCTAAATTGTTATGCAGATAACATTAAATAGGGAAAAAAGGAATTCCTCTTTAATAATATACATTCGTATGGTTATATCTGAAACTTTTAAACGCACTTGGGTGCCATCAAAATAGTTCACAAAACTATTTTAGAGGAAGCTTTTCAATTTACACTTGACCCTTCTTTCACCAGCAATGTTTCAAGAAAAATAAGCATTCCTCTTATTTACCAACTTTAAACGTAAAGAACACTACTCTAGCAATGTTACAGAAGTGGCAGAAGTCCCCTACTTTGTTGGCTGAAAGTTAAGCCCAGAGACAACGAATGTAATGAATTTATTTAAACACTGTGGTAATAAATGTATTAAAACTACTTGTTATATATATATATATATATATATGCACACATATACACACACACATATATAAAAATAAAATATGGTTTATGATTCATTTCTTTCTTTTTATGTGCTACATATATTGAAAGATTGCTTTTCCCCCTAGAAACTAAAAGAAATAATTCAATTATGCTTAGACCTGCAGAAAATTTTCTTGTTTGTTAGCTGCAGGAAAAAAACGTGTGTATCAGGAAGCGTTCATCTGTTACTGAATTATTAAAAAAGAAATACTACAAAATTACTTTTTTAAAAAACCCCAAACTTCATAAAACTAAATAGTGTTTTTAGTTAATATAGTATCTATTATGGAATAGCCCCCTTTTGGATTTAATTAAGCAAAAATCACTGTATAGCTGACATAAAGAAACATAAAAAATACTAAGTCATAGTATTTGTCATTTGATCTCACCTTAAAAGATACCTTTAGGGCTGGCCCCGTGGCTTAGCGGTTAAGTGCACGCGCTCTGCTACTGGCGGCCCGGGTTCGGATCCCAGGCGCGCACCGAGGCACCGCTTCACCGGCCATGCTGAGGCCACGTCCCAAATACAGCAACTAGAAGGATGTGCAACTATGATATACAACTATCTACTGGGGCTTTGGGGAAAAAAAAAGGAGGAGGATTGGCAATAGATGTTAGCTCAGAGCCCGTCTCCCTCAGCAAAAAAAAAGAGGAGGACTAGCATGGATGTTAGTTCACGGCTGATCTTCCTCAAAAAAAAAAAAAAAGATACCTTTAAAGCATTATATCCTAAATCAACTTTAGATAAGGTGAAAAACATTCTCCAAACTGGTTTATGAGTAGAAAGATAATAAGTTTTAATTTATTGCTTCTCTAGAATTTTATTTATTTAGAAAACTAGTCTTTTAGCAAATATAAAGTTTCATTTCCCTTTATAGGCAGATCCATGTCACAAACCATTCTTAAATCATGCATATTTCTTTCCAAGTATGAGAAATGATTAAATTTTACAAACTGAAAGCCATGAAAATCTGTACTCTCTTCTTCAAAACATTAGATATTCATAAGTTTAGTGTAAAAAGGGTATGAAACATACAGATCTTATTGATTAATGTAAGAAAGGTCTGATAGTCACCACCACTTCCCATGTCTTACTTTACCTGACCATGAGAACTATGCCGCTCAGTGCTTTATTGTCTTGACACAGAGGAGGCTCAGAACCACATAAAGTGCTCAAAGATATCTCCTCCACCTTTCTCCATGTGATATTTGAGCTCTCTTTTATTTTAGCTTCTCTGTTTTTTTTTGGAGGGGGGGTGAGTAGGTAGTGTCTACATTAATAAATAATTAATAGATAATTATTTATTTGATACAAATTCCAGGAGACAGAAAAATTAAAGCTTAAGTGTTGGGAAGTTCCAGTTACTGAGGAATAAGAGTAAACAAAAATAAAGCATTTCTTAAGTCTTGCTGTTATTTTAAAACATTGCCATTTTAGCCCCTTGCAATTCTGTATCGCTTCCTCTTCCTCTGCCCCAATGGAAGTGTACTAACTTGCAGTATACTAACTTTTAGGCAACCCCAATTTCCTAAGAGTTTATCTTCTATTTGTAAAAATATCCCCAATTTTAACTTTGAATTTGTGTTTATCTGCCTAGGAAGATGCATGTCATCTAGAGTATATACTGAATGCCTTTCAAATAATTCTACCAAGAAGACAAACTGATGAGATATGACAAGGGAAGGTCTCTGGTGGGGGCAGGAAAGATTTTATATCTGAACTATGATATAAAAAGGCTAGGATAACATAGCTAAATTCTATTATGAGTATTGTTTATTATTTGTTCAAAATGTCTTTACAGTAATATTTTTCTCAAGGAGACAGGCAATCAATCCATTTAGCATTTAAGTCCATACTGTTTAATAAACAACATTACTTCCTAAAGCTGCCACAGATTTAAAAGATTGTGAATGAGAAAACAGTAAAAGCAGCGTGTGCACCATCCTGGCAGATAATACAGAGTATTCTTGTGCTTACGTGATCAGCTGATCAAGGAAGCTTCAGTGTTCCTTAGAGAGAAGGATCAGATAACATTGGACAAAAAATTGGCTTTCTTCTAAGGAAGGATCCAAACAGGAACTCAACTGCCAAACTTTCAGGCATTTCTCAATAAACACTGGATTAAATCATTCCTAGCTTTTATTTGTCAATATTTTATCCCGATCTTATCTGCTTAAGATAGATAAATTTGTGACTTAAATGTAAAATTACCAATGAAAAGGTTTTTTTTCCCCACCCTGTATTTTTTCCCATCTAATTTTAATAAATCTCCTTACAACGAATATCTAGAAATGTTTGATTTTAAAAAAGAAGTAAATATTGCACCGCTAATCATCCAAGACCAGGCTCACAAGAAAGAAAGGGGAATCCCTAGGTGCCAGCCATGAAGAAGGTTCTGGAAACCAGTGAAGTAGGCATATGACCTATGCTGCAGCAGCACAGAGGGAGGGAAAGTAAGCTGTTACAGGTCTCAGCAATCCAGAAGCTTGAGTTTTAATACTCTTGTGAGGACAAAAGATGAGGCTCTCAGCTCAAATGAGGCAGGCTGGAATTACCATTCTCTTGTAAACCTCAGAACCTAAGAAAGCTGAACCGTCAGCAAAAGGAAAGTCTAGAATAAACTCATCCACTAGCACAGGTTTGCTTCTGCCTGGACCCTAGCTTAAAAGACAAACATGCCTCTTGTAAAACCAAATCTCTAGGTTTGTGCCTCTTGTAGATTTGGGGCCTGAATTTACTCTCCCTCCATGGTATGGGAAGGTGAGAAAGTCTGGTCCAACATAGCGATGCTCTGGAACACATGACAGAACCAGAGACATTCTCACAACTTACCTGGCCCAGGATTCACACAGATAAAGCCCTTGAGTCTCAAAATTACTAAATAAGTGAACTACACTCCACAAACACAACAATAAGAAGGATTACTTGAAACACTAGAAAAACAATCTATAAAAGACTAGTATGTTGTAAAAGATGAAAGACATAAAGGAAGGAAACAGCTATAAAACAATATAGCAGCATAGAAAAGATTAGAAGATACGAAAAAGAATCAAATAAAACTATATAAATGAAAAAAATACAGTAATAAAAATAGGCAGATTAAATAGAGTAGACACAACTAAACAGAGAATTTGTAAACTGGAAGATATATTTGAGAAAATTATCCTGAATGTTGCAAGAGTCTCAAGCAGACTAAATTACAATACATCCATAGGTAGTGAATTTCATTTCTTAACTTGAGTGGTGTGATAAGAATGTTTGCCTTATAATAATTCACTAAAGAAAAGACTTTTGTTTTCTTATTTTATTTTATAATACAAAGATATTTTTAAAAAACTAGTCCATTCCTAGATGTATTTATACCCAGCTAAATTATCACTGACTGTGCAGGACAAAATAAAGGCATTTTACAACAAAAATAGAGTTTATTATTCACTGATCCTTGTTAAAAAGACATCTAAAGGATGTACTCCAGAAATAAACTGAACTCACAAGAAAAGAGTAAGATGTAAGAAGTAACAAGGAGCAGAAAAAATAAGGAAACATAAGAAAAATCTAAACAAGTATTGAATTTATCAAATGAAAATAATAATTACACAATAATGATTAATTTGGGGAAATATAACACAAGGTGGGACTAAAATAATAAGTAACAATTATATATTAAATGAGATGGATAATTGAAGCTAAAACATTCTAATGTTCTTGTAGTGGTTATGACAACCATAGACATAATGGTTGATTTTAGACTCTAAGTCAGTACATAAGTTAAAAATTTCAGGGTAATAACCACTAAAATAATAGAAATAGAATACATGTAACTTCTAGACCTTCAGGGGAAATGAGA